CTTTTGGTATAAGTGTAAAATTGAAAAATTAACATTCAATGTTGGGTTTTTCTAATTTAAACCCTAAGAGCATAGATTAAAAATACATTTATTATACTTTTTTACCATTAATTTGTATAAAAAATTATAAAAATAAACTTTATTTTCAACACTAATGCTACATGGAATGATTTAATTGTACAATTGATAAAACTAAAATAAATTTTAATTTTTTCTATAGAAGAATGCATGACAGAAAATTTATTTAATATTTTATTAAAATGAAAAATAAGACAACTAAATTATCTTGGAGTGATTTTATCTACAATATTATAAACTAATAGTGTAACAAGTAAATTAAAACGAAGATAGTATAACAAAGCCTTGGTGTACTGTCCCTGGGATTGTGGACCAATTTCCTTAGTTCTTTCCTTATTTCATTGATTTCTAATTGTACTATGTATAGAGTTATAAATAACAAGCGAACAATTTCACTTCAATATTTTTACCTTTTCATTATTAATTTGTATCACTTTATTTGATCAAAGTTAATTCCTATACAATATTTCTTAAAATGAATTCTCATAATAAATAAATGGCATCAAGTGGATAAATATAGATTCATGCATTTTATTAAATGAAAAAAAGTTAATTATAATTACTATCATTGTCACTTAAGATTGTAAAATTTCATTGTAAGTAGACATTGTGTGAGTCATTTTCCTTATTTAATTGTGAACCTATTAGGCTAAGCTCAATTTTTTCCTTTGTTGTATATAGAGTTAACTCTTGTAGAATTTAAAACTCTAACCTTATCCAAAATCAATGTTTTGAAATTAGTACGAACCAACTCAATCAATCTCTTATTGGCATTAGGCAAGGCACAAGTGGTAGAGAGTGAAGTGAACCATGTTAGAAATGAAGGTTTGAATTTTATCCATCCCTATTTGGGTACAAACAATTCTAAGGAGCCTTTCATCGAAAGACAAAAACAAAAAATTCTAAGGAGCCTTTTAATGCGAATACATACATACATAGGAAGACATAAGCCCCCACCCTCTAACAAAAAGACTTGATTGAACAAGGGTCACCATAACGAACCGAAACCGTCAACATGGATTGGAAAAATTTGCAAAAACTGTTCAAGTGAGATTAAGAAATTCGTCAAAACAGCTAATGAGAACCTTAAAATGGATTACTAGTGTCATGCTCTTGAAACTTCTAATGAGAACTAAACTGTGGCCTATTTGCTTGTCCCTTTTTTTTTCTTGAACAAAGTAAAGTGTGGGGATGGAAAAAAAACAAGATAAAACTCTTTACTTAGTTTCAATTATCTTTTTTTATTTTTTTGAAAGGCTAAAGAAACATTTTATTATTTAAGTAGAAGAGGTACTTAAACCTGTATATATAGCAAAGTTATACTCATCTTAACAACAATTAAGCACTAATTCCCCTTGGTTTTCTGCCTTGTTTAAGTATCAAACACCCACTTGGGTTAAGCACTTGATTTCAATTATCTTAGTTTTACCTGATGAAATATCTTTGACTTTAGAATTGAACTGTGGCATTTAAGCAATCATTTTCTAACATTAGTTCTTTATCCACATCACTTTTTCCTCTCTGTTTCCTCTGGTCCAGTGTTATTAAAGGCGAACCAAAGTCATACTCGCGCGACTGAAATTGCAATTTATATTATTTTCTATAAATTTCAGCTACTCTCAGAAAGGACTATTCCTTATTGACTAGAGACACAAATCAAATCAGCAAAATCAAGCCTTAATTCTATCAATAGAATGGTTTGAATTTCTCCATCACCATTTGGTACAAACAATTCTAATGAGCCTTATTATGTGAATGCATATGTATGACAGGAAGACATAACCCCCCCACCGTCTAACAAGAAGACTTAAGCAAGGGCCACCATAAAGTTCTCAACCCAGAAAGATTGACTAGGGAAATTTGCAAAGACTATTCAAATGAGCCTAAGAAATTCGTAACAACCTTTTTTGTGAGTTCATTAGCTCCATTCAAACTTAAATCCTTGAATCGAATAGGTAACTCGTAGATAACACTAATGCTTCTAAATAGGTATTTTCCCCATACTTGCAACATGCACAAACCCATAGACACTTCAATTAATTCATTTATGCATGTCATCATTCTATACATTGAATTCAAATTCTAACAACATCCCTACTCCTTCTCCCAACTAAAATCTCAGGCAAATAAGTCCTCAAACAAACAAAGGTAAACAAACGGTTTTTGTATATCATGGGAAGAAAGGATAATAAAAAAACCATGAATCCTAAATAAAACATGAGTTACACGTATCCTTTCCACAAAATCTTTACCATTCATGTACCAAAAAAAAAAAAAATCTTTACCATTCATCTATTTAGATTAAGATTTAAATCGTGCTAAATCCGAATCAATCATTCATAATAGAGAGACCAATAGTTAAGATTTTCTGTAACAATTATGTAAGCGAATCCTAACACAAAACATACATACATTCCTGCAATTTGGATCAAACTAGAAATGATTATCCAAACAATTCTTCCAAACGGTAGACCGTCAGCAGTCGGATGTGAGAGGCGCCGGTTGATCACATCATTTTGATAGGCACTAATTGTAAGGGTAGTAATATAACTAGCCCATAAACATACTGAAGGCTCATGAGGCCCAAATACAAAAGAGCACATGCATAAGTTACTATGGAGTTCATATACACTCAAATAGATCCAAAGGGACCAACAGAAGTGCAACACATGTCCATCATTCCCAAAGGATTCATAAATACCCCCACACCCCTCAAAGGTACGGGACTCCTCATTCAACGTTTCTCTCTAATACACTCCATTCTCTCAATATAGCTCTAAGTGTAGACTATTGCTGATTTAAGCATCGGAGTGGCTACCCCGAGAGCCATCCTCGGGGCTTTGTAGGTTTATTGGAAGAGAAGATCTGAGCAAGAAAGGCCTTGAAGGTTTTCTGCAACAACATTGGCGCCGTCTGTGGGAACCGAATAAAAAGCTTCATTTCCATGTTGATCCAGTTGATTGGAGGGAGGAGAAAGCGAGTGAAGGCCTCATGGCCTATTCACTTGAGTTGTAGAAGTAGATCTGATGAATTTACACTTGAGTTGCAGAAGCAAACGTGATGAAAAGGGTCTATTCGCCCATGAAGAAGAGAAGCTTTCACAAAAAGACAAACAAGGGAGTAGCTCTGCACAACTATCGGGGCAGGTTACAATGTCAGCCATGAGTATTCAAGAAGCAAAAAGTGTCAGCAAAACACAAGCTTAAGGTAACTCAGAGGGGTCCACCAAAAAAAAAAAAAAAAAAAAAAAAAAAGAAACTTATCCCTTTCCTTCTAAACTCCTTCGGTTTCAACTATGGTGGTCTTGTGCCTCTCTGTTCTTCAACCATAAATGTACTTCTTATCTATTCAGTTGGTGATAATGAAAATGAAGGAAACAAAAATGGAGTTGGAGGGTGTGGTGAAGAAAGGCATGGAGTTGGGGGAGATGGCATTCAACAAAGACGGTGGAGTCATCAACTGGTTCTCCGCTCACATGGCTGTTGCCACCCGCGCCATCCGCCAATGCCTCAAGCTCTCCATCCCCGTCATCAAAGTCTGAGATTCTCGAAATACCATTATCCTTTGCTCATAAAGAACTGCAGCCTTAGCTCTCAGCCAAAAGCTTGCCAGTGTGAAAATCCATTTAATCAGCTGCTAGGAACAAAAGTCTATGGTTCCAATGACAGAAGAAGACTAAGCAACTATGGCCGAGCCAACTATGGCTAGGCTCTGTCACTCAAGCTCGACAATGATGAGCTGCAAGCATCTTGCTTGAGTACGAGCTGCGAATTGTAGAAGTCTGAAATGATAGTTGCTGAATCACGAGCTGCGAAATGCAAAAGTCCAAGGTGTGGGATGCTGAAGCACGAGCTGCAAAGGCCGAGAACGAAGTGCAGAACTCAACCACCAGTTGCAGAGCTCAAATGCAAAAGTCTGAGGTGCGAGATGCTGGAGCACGAGCTGCAAGCGTCTTGCTTGAGTACGAGCTGCGAACTGTAGAAGTCTGAAATGATAGTTGCTGAATCACGAGCTGCGAAATGCAAAAGTCCGAGGTGCGGGATGCTGAAGCACGAGCTACAAAGGCCGAGAACGAAGTGCAGAACTCAACCACGAGCTGCAGAGCTCAAATGCAGAAGTCCGAGGTGCGGGATGCTGAAGCACGAGCTCCAAAGGACGAGAACGAAGTGCGGGATGCTGAAGCACGAGCAGCAAAGGTCGAGAACGAAGTGCAAAACTCAACCACGAGCTGCAGAGCTCAAACACGAGCTGCCGAGCTCAAACACGAGCTACCGAGGTCAACCATGAGCTGCTGAGGTCAACCATGAGCTGCTGAGGTCAACCATGAGCTGCAAAGGTTCAGCACAAAGTGCAGAGCACAAACACAAGCTGCAGAGCTCAAACACTTGCTGCCGAGGTCGAGCACAAAGTGCAGAAATCAAACACAAGCTGCCAAGGTCAAGCACAAAGTGCAGGGGTCGAGCACAAAGTGCAAGGGTCGAGCACAAAGTGCAGAGCTCAAACATGAGTTGCCGAGGTCAACCATGAGCTGCAGAGCTCAAACACTTGCTGCCGAGGTCGAGCACATAGCGTAGAAATCAACCACAAGCTGTAGAGCTCAAACACTCACTACCAAGGTCAGCCACGAGCTACAGAGGCCAAACATGAAGTGCAGAACTTGAACACGAGGTGCAGAGGTCGAGCATGAGCTAGAAGATATGCAGCACGAGCTGCAAGGTGTCAACACCCTCAACAAGGTGCCGACACTTTTCCCACATTCGTCCGGAGAGTCCGTGTCGGGTTTTGTCCTTCTCTGCAAATTCTGGTAACGGTAAAATTACAATCCCGACCCCTTACTTTTAGATTCTGCACAATTTAATCCTCAAATTTCATTTCTTTGCAATTTACTCCTAAGGATCGTGACTCCTTCCAATTAAGTCCTTTCCAGCACAAATAATGAAATTATGTAAAATTAAATAATTTTTCATAAAATTCATCCAAATATCAATAATATCAAAATATAAATTTTATATTAATATATATATAAATTTAGTTCATTAGCCATGTATTGTTTTGAAAATTAAAAAAGATGAACTCACAATCTTTTTCTCTTATTTATTTTACACAATATATTTTCTTGATTATAAGACTGGATGCTTTAATTTCTCCTCTTTTCAAGTCCTTGTGATA